CTTCTTAGTCAGTAAGAAAAATAACAGATTTATCTCTACTGTTCAGCTTTCTGCTATTGCTGCAATTGGCTGCCATGTAAGGTAATCATTTCCCTGCATCTGTTTGAAAATAAAGGTCCTATATAGCCTGAGACAGAATGGGGAAAGGAGATCCTCAAGAGTGTGGGGACACCTCTCAGCAGATTATGTTTCAGGGCCTTATGGTCCATCATCTAAAACATATGCAATGAAGGATCTTTAATCAAATAACCAACTCCTGAAAATTTCTTATCTATGTAACTGAGTGTAAAAAATTCAAAATATAGAAATTGATTAAATTTGTCAATTACAACTTTAATGAGAGTCCTAAAAACACCTGCTTCAAACCTAAACCTGCACAAGATGACTCTGGCTATTGGTTTGTTGATCACATTATTAGGAGTAGGGTCATGGATTCTAAAAAGCAGGGATGGAAAAATAACACATTCACATTAGGTAGAATGATTCATCAACAATGAAACTAGCACTTTAGCACTGTTTCATACAATTAATATTTTTCTTCCCTAACAACTGAGATCTAGTTTTTAACTACCACAATTTTCACCAAAAGCTGGGTTACCTTACTTTTAAAGCAATCACTGAGAATAGGGTCTCTGAAAGCTTTTAAAAAGGAATGGCAAATAGTAAAAACAATTAGATATGAGGTGAACTTTTGTATTTTTTTCCTTTTAAGTAATTATGCTTCAACAGATAAAACTGAAATTCAGAAATTAAAATCCTTTATTAACAGTCATTTCCTGTTACCTCACTGTACAGTTTTAAGCATGGCACTCTCCTGGCATGATGCACTATAACTGAGGTGAATCGCATTGGCTGTATCATGATATCATGATATCATAGCTAGCTTCTGCCCTGTGTACCTTTCAAGAGTTCATGCTAACAGATTTTGAGTAGTCAGTCATAACTAGTCTTTTGGCACTGAGCTCCACCTGCTGGCAATTCTTTCAAGTATTGCAAAACTTGACTACCAAGTCACAGTTTTATCACTCGTTCCAGTATTACCAGTCCAGGTAATGTATTATTATTCCAGTACTACCAGTTGCTGCAGTACACAAAATAAATCTATATGAAAGATTTCTGTAGCAAGAAAACTATATAATTTACAATACATATTTTCTAAAATAATGGGTTTGCACCTTTAAAATGTTTGGTTTTACCACATAAGGAAAAAGGAGAAAACATATTAAGGTGGCACACATATTTCACTACATTATTGCTAAACAAATTAATTACTATTTTATATTAACTAAATCTATTGCCTGGCTTAAACACTCCCTGAAGATTTTCTATTATGTAACAATTTCCAAAGCAATACTGATGCTGCAATTTTTAAGTCTTACCATAAAATGCATATCATCATAATTCTATTTAATTACCTGAGTAAATGATTAACTGGCTCTGCAATATATTTATTATATTTTTTTAATCTGATCATTAGACTTATAAAAGTGTTGTTGTTGTTTTCTTCATTTCAGTTACCATGGACTACTGCCATGCTCCACATTAACAGCCCAACAAACATCCATTGACTAAATACCTAAAAATTGAAAAGTTAGCTCAAGTCGCTTCCTGGTACTGTTTAAGTCTCATAAAGTGACATAATATGTAGCAGATTGGATACTACAACAGTTTTGGCAAATTACATCTGCTCACATGGAACAACCAACCAGCTTTTTCTTAGTCTCTATCTCCATACTTTAATATAAGTACAGAAGAAAACATTAACTATGTTTCTCCTGTTATCACAGTGCATAGTACAATTGCATAACTCTAGGGGTTTCAAAGACATTGTTTTAAACTGGTAGTGCCATCACCATTATAATTACCACTGTCTTACATGGTTAGCTCAATAGAACAGTAGAACTGCTAGAAACAATAAAATATGTTTCATTTCTACAAATACAGTGCCAGCATTGTTAAATGCAATCTTCAGGAATAATCTAAAATAGATTTTTTTTTAATTCCCTGCTATGATAGGATTGAACAAAACAGAATCATTCAGCAAGTTCCTTTTTGCTAAACTGTGTACATGAATATCAATGCACAGCTAACACTCTACAAACAATAACCTATATTGACTAAAGCAAACTATATTGAACACACCAGCAGAATGTGAAATTTCTTACAGTTAACAGAGGGAAAAAAAGAACAAGGAAACTAAGTTATAACATGTATATAACACTACATATAAAAAACACCTCAAACAGCATTTCAGAATTGCATTCCTTGTTAGTATTCTATTATAGTTACCTAATGTAAGAGATGGAAAACAACACAATTTGTGAACTATTTCACCATGAAATTGGCTGTAATTATATGATACAGCCAATACAGAGATAGGAAACTTCAGAAAATTGCTTTGCATATCTTATTTTTTTAACTTTAAAAAAAAAAAAAAAATCACTTGTGACTAAGGACTTGAAATACATACTTCATACAGATACAGCACAAGTCAATTATGATTCTGTAAGTCTTCGGAAAAGAATTTGTAAAACAAGTGTTTAGAACTAATTTCTGAAGAGGAATAAATAACCGCATTCAAATGTAGTATCAGAACAGATCAGTGCTTACACATAAAGAGGAGAAACCTAAACAAAATCATAGCTGAAGAAACAATGATCCTATTGAATGAAACCAGGATGAATGACTGGCAGCAAGAACATTTTATTTCTCATCATTTAGCAGAAGTTTAATCTTAAGGAGTTTTATTAAAAAAAATCCCTTTATAAAAATCACCAGGATGTTTATTTATACAAACAGCCCATCAGTGTATTAGTTTGTTGTCTTGAGATACAGTCAAGACAGTCCTTTCAAGGCATAGCAATTTGCAAAAAAACGGTTTAGACTCCAAATTTATCTACCTATTCTTAGTTAATTTTACTAGCACATGATATCAGCTGTTAAAGAAAAAGAAAACTTACTCAAGGGAGATTGGCCAGCACTTAAGTCAGTCATATTCCCACACTTCAGTCATACTAAGGGCAAATTATTCCTAGCCAACCTGGTAGCCTTCTATGACGGAGTGACTTCTGCAGTCAGAGTCTGACTAATACAACCTACCTAGACGTCTGTAAGGTCTTTAACATAGTCCCACGCGACATTCTTATCTCCAGATTGGAGAGATGTGGATTTCAAGGGCGGACCCTCCTCCTGACAGAAGAATATTCAGCAGGGCTCAGTATGAACTGTCTGATCCCAGCTTCTGCCTCCTCTCCTGCTTGGAACCCCCCAAGGGTGGTACAGCACTGGCACAGGCTGTCCAGAGAAGCTGAGCCTGCCCTATCCCAGAAAGGTTTCAAGGCCAGTAGAAGGTGTCCCTGATTATGGCAGGGGGCATTGGAACTAGACATCTTTAAGGTTCTTTCCAACCAACACCATTCTACAGTCCTGTGACTACGTTGCCCCTTCCCCTACTCTCCCAGAGGCCACAATGTCCAGAACACAGAACTGGCCACTCTGTGACACCAGTCCATGGGCCAAGAGCACCATGGGCAACATGAGTGCTGCACGAACTATGTCAGTGGCTGCACTGAGGCAACAAGCCCTTGCTCCTTGCAGCTTACACGTGTCGCTGGCAGTGAAGAAGTTGTGCTTCCATTCTGCAGGCCATGTTCAGCACATGGGATTATTTTCTCCCACACATTGAAACAGAGATTTAGAAACCAGAAAGAAGACTTCAGTTATCTTGGACAGAAGTGGAAGAGTACTATTCTTATGATAAAACTCATCATCTCAACCAGCCCTTACAGACAATATTCACTAGAAATACTACAGGATATTAAGTTACATTAAGTAACTAACAAGACAGACTACCCAAAAAAGATTCCAAGTCTCTTAATCTTTCACAATCATTATCCTGATTCCTCTTTTCTCCTTCATCTTTTTGTACTTTGTCAACTCCTTCTAGGTCAAGACAAGCATAATGTTTTGTGCCAGGGTAAATGACAACCACTGGGTAGTGCCTCATAAATATTAAACAGCAGTGGAAGTAAGAGAATGCTGACGATTATGTGTAAATGTAGAATGGGAATCAAACTTGGTTCCACAAATAGAGGGGAAAAAGAAACATTCTTCTCAGAAACAACCATTTCACTATCATTTCACTGAGCTATTGCCCTGTGGGCCAAAAGGGATGGCAGGCTAAAACTCAAAGAAAAGAAGTCACAAGTATCTCATACATGTCAAACCTAATTCACAAAGGCAAACACTACCATCTGACTCTTTATTGTTTGCTTGCTTTTTTATGCAGTCTACCAACTCTGCACATAGCTGCATATAATTGAGAAAAGGAAGTCACACAAAATATTAGCAAAGTACTTATTTAAATTACACGGGGTCTCACCAGAGAACAAAAAGTTCCTTTTGATTATTAAGAGCATGGAAATATTTAAAAATAAGATGCAAAATATTAGTGTTCATTTCTGTTTAAATAAAAGAGCAATTACAATACCTAAAATTAATTTCTCAATTACATAATGTGTGTGGTGATTCCAAAACCTTTCACGGTTAATTTTCTTTCTATGAGTGTGAATGTATTTCTTTAACATCCAAGGAAATTACCAACAGCTACTCAGTCACGTTTACTAAATCTATTTAAGGGCTAACCCTGTTGAAACAGTCTAATGAGAACCTAAGCATCAAGTGTACAGAAGACCAATGCAAGTCCACAGACATGGACTGTTAGAAGCTACTGCAACATAAAAAGAGAAATCACACAGCTAAACTGTTTGTCTAAACAAATCTCCACAAATGCAGAGTGATGTTCATTCACTTCAATCATCCCAGTCAGCACCTTGATACTCTGATCCCAGGACTGAAGCACAATAGCAATGCTACACAAATCGGCAAACAGGTGTAAAACTTACCATGGAAGTCACTGATCTGGCATCTTCTTCATAATTCACTACAGGTGGTGGCTCTTTCCCATCATTCTCTTGAACCTTTTGTTCCAGTAATTCTTTCTGGGCTGCAAATTTTGCCTCAGAGCATCTCAGTTGCTGAACTGTTTGCTTAAGTTCTTCAAGTGCTTGCTTTTGGCTCAGCAAGAGTACAATACTGCAAAGAAAAATAATATTTTTTAAATATACATTACTTAAATACATCATTTGTGTCATAAAACCTGAGAAAAGAACATGACAATTTCACAACATAATTATTTATTTTAAAGCATAAAAATGTGAAGCAATTGTAGAAACTTTTCAAAGCTACAAGACAATGAAAACAGCCATTCTTTTTTCCCTATCACAAAAATCAAGTTGCAATAAATATAGATAAACCCACTGTTTTCCTTCACTTTTGACTGAATTTATAAACACAAGGGTTCCCTACCCTTTAGCGAATAAATAAACTTTTAGAAAATTTCCAGTGATGAGAAAACCACTGTAATCTACATAGCTGTTGCAATAATAATTTGCACTATTAAACTCACCTTACAATTGGTATAAATTCACCTGGTATCAAGTTAGAGATATCTGTTGCTCCCTGTACTCCCTAAGTATTTCTGGACTGCATTATAACAGTCTTCTTACAAATAAATTGATCTCTCTTAGAAGCTAAAAGTAACTTGTTGTCTTCTGCTTGCTTTTATGGCTCTTCTCTGAATATCCCTCACACCTCTGAATACTCAAGACAGACATGATTAAATCGTTATTAAAGGACAAGCACTGAGAACATTTGCAGGTACCTAGACGACTATTATCCCAAAGAACTGCTAAAACTAAAGACTGACAGAAGCTTCCTAAAAGACAGAATCATCCACAGTGCAATACAGACACCATTAAAAGCACTCAACTGGAGCCCAGTGACATGTGGTCTATAAGAGATGCAGAGTTCTCACAGTTTACAAGAAAAGGTGAAGGAACAGAACGACAAAGAATGAGGATGACATGAAGAAAAATCACAGTATTCTGTCACTCTATATCTTCAGGATAATCCCTGGAAGACAGAGCCTCCTGCAAGCCCTACCCTTGGGGAAAAAAAAAGAAAAGCAAAAGTCATTCATATTGAGATTGTTCCTTTGCAAACCAGTACTGGGCCAAACGACTATTCAAACAGATTTGAAAGTGATAAGGGAACCATCTGTCATTAAATCCTCATTGGCAGGAAAAGGTAAAAGTCATATTCCTATAGATGAGCATATTTTAAGTTGCCAATGAACAAAACTCTGCACAATCAGCAGAATGATCATTCAGGTAAAAAGCATAAGTGTGATGTATGAATTACAGGATCAGAAACTGAGATTTGGCATGAGACTGCACAGAATTAAAAGCATCACACAACCAAATGAACCATTATCCTGACACTATCCTGAAGACAATGCTCTTTCATCTGGCCCTCATTATGAGAGAAAAAGGACATCACCCTGTGAAAATAACAGCCCCGCACTACCAACACAGCTTTGGTGAATATTAATTGGCTAGAATCACATCCCCAAACACAGAATGGTTTTAACTTATCACAACACAGCAAGAACAAGACATACCATGCAAGGGAAAAGTCATAAGCTAGTCTCTTTCCTCAACTGTGGTAAAATGGATTACCATTTAACTTGTTTGCCCAAATACAGCTTTGAATAATTCTCAGTCCAGCCATGCATGAGGAACTAGAATCTATAAAATTATTTGCCTATGGCTTGCATGAGTACAAACTTTATAGTCCTTGTGACTAGCAAGAGCTACTATCAAAACTCAAGAGTGAGATCTTTTGTGAAAGATCCCTGCAAGACCAGAACAGGGCAACACATCAGAAAGTGGTAAAAAGTTGAACCAAATCAAAACCAAAATATTCAATATGCCGGCATACTGGGATGGCAGATGGCATGCTTGACATATACATATATAAATAAAATATAATTAAAACATTCTGTGTTGAAGGTAACATCATGATTTGAAGATGAAAAGGGATATTAGTACCAAGACAGTGCTATGCACTATGACAGCAGTTATAACTAAAACCCATGCGACAGTTGGACGAGATCTTCCAGGGACAGTAAGTAAAACCATCCTGATCACTCAGCACTGCAGTTAAAAGGTGAGAACTGGGTCTGCTGGAGGAAGGCATGATCAATGACAATTCACAACAAGGATTATTTCAGGGAAACTTTGATCTTACAACTAGGTATCTAAGCCAGATTTCATGCCTTTTAGTAAGTCATACTGGTACTGGTGCAATTTGAACTGAAATCTTCTTGTCAAAACTGCAAACATCTGCTAAAGGATCAGTACGAGAAGCCAATCCACAGCAAAAAACACAGGGATAGTCTGACCTATTTAGGAGAGCGCTAATTGTTGACAAAACAATACTGTGGGAAAAAAACCCAAACAACACCCACCAAACTCACCTAGTACAAATACAGTTTATTCTTTAAGTAACATGCAGCAAGGAAGGCAGGTCAAGAACCAAAAACTAGAAAATAGCCTGTGAGTATGTGTGATCTTTACCAAAGAAAGAACAGGAAAGCATCAAATCAAGACACTGGTAACACATACACAGTTTTAGATAGGAATTAAATACTATACAATATATTATGTGACAAGATTCCTTCAACAAAGAGCTTCAAAACTCCCTTAGTGAATGAATAATATCTTGAAGGACTTGCATTCCAATTCACTACTAGTACTGCAAACTAGTATTTATGACCAATTTAGTAAGGCTATTGCTGACTGCAACAAGAAACAGAAAAATACCACTACAGACAAAAGGTCTTGTACTAGCTTCAGTTTAGAAGAGGATGCAAACATATTTTATAGCCAGAGGTAGAAGAAAAACCTAAAAGTATTGCTCAAGAATGACTCTTTATAAGGGTTTTTTCATAGTGCTGTTTAACACTCTTTAATCCTTCACTCTATTTACTATCCAGTACAACAGGGTATATCAGATTTAGACTTTACATTTACAGTTTTGTAAAGAAAATGCAATGAAGAATGAACTTAACCTGAAGAGTTCCAAACATGTTACTGCATAAGAAGGAGCATGTCTTGCACATGACTCTGAAAGTCTTTCAAAACATTACACCTATGCAATGAATTCTGTCAAACAGAGAGGCAATGTGAACTGACACATCTTCTTCCATCAAGTTGACGTTACAATATGAACCAAAAGTTGAGCTCTTGAGCCATCCCACAACTATGACAATTATATTAAACTTATGGAGCTGCTCAATTCTTCAATGAAGTAGAGTCTGCATTTAGAGATGAGAAACTCACTTCTTGTTTTTTACATTAATTGCTACACACAAAAGCAGAGCAAGATTAGTGGAGGTTATTTCTTATTTAAGTCTTATGAATTGCATTATAGACATTTTGTCCTCATATTATTATATTTCAAAATTTCATTTCAACTTACTCAGACTTCTTTTCACAAGTCTTAGAGGACTCTTCTATTTTTTTCTCCAGTTCCAACACAAGTTCCTCTTTGCTCAAAAGGGTTTGCTGTGTCTGCATCAGTTCTTCTATAACTGTTTTTAACCTGTAAGAAAGATTTCAGAAACCCATGTTGTGAATACACAAACTGTATGTATTTGGGAACATTGTACTATTTTTTCCTGAAGATGTAAAGGAGCATTGTATTTTAGATCATCTTACTCAGCGCTTGGTGATCTTCTTTTTTGTGGCTACACCTTTATATTGTTAATCCATACTATTACAGATTCCATATTAGCCTCTGTATAAATATAAGGTTACAAAATTATCTACTGCCTGCAGGTTCTCCGATCAAGAAACTTTTTTCCCCAGAATATGTGATGAGTTCTGTGAATTAAAGCCTTCCTAATATGTTCCTAATTTATGAGATGCTTTATGAAAGACAAAAGCCTTCCAGCTCCTGAAGTGCATGTTAAATACACAGAATCAGTAGTTGAGTTATATTTACCTTGAAATAAACTGACAGCTTCTGTCATAAGAGTGATTATATTTTTCTCTAAAATTAACTCTTAGGTTACAATCTCTGGTAATGCAAATTCCAAGGAAAGACAAAACTCTACAAGAACACGCAGTACTAACAGAGAAGAGGTTATTACACCTTAAAATCATTACGGACACTGATTATGTTGATAACATTCCAACAACAAAAAAATCAAGGAAAGTACAGTAACATCTGCAGTCTGAACAATGCAGGTAAATGGCTTACATAATGATTACTTCAAAATTGTGCATCTATATACATGTTTACTTCAAGATATTGTTAAGCCAGAACAATTTTTAATAAATACATAATCTATCCTGTTTCCTTCTCAGCATTCATCTATACATCTTTAACCATCTTATTCTACTTCTCCTGTATTTTCAAGCCCAACTGCAATAAAACTACTGAAGAATGGAACAAAAGCAAAACATTACAAAAGTAATTATGACAGCACATACCTATGGCCCAAAACCATTCCAGATTGGGGAGTGGCACAGGAGGACAACTCTCTATGTATCTAGGAGGTACATTCCACACTTTCATATATACCAAACTGAATTATTAGATTCTAAACACTGAATTTTTTCTCTCCTCCTGATATATTTCATACAATGTTTTTACATTTAGTCTTTATTCAGATACTTGTGTATCTATCCTGGATGACTTAAATTACTAACAAAAGCCATAGAGTGAACTGCAAAAGTTTATCTCCCCAATGATGAAGGAGCTACATGTTTATTTTGAGATAAGGGAAATACTTAAAACATTTCCCCCAAAGTAACATCCCCACAGCTCCCTGTTCATAGACATTTCTACTGGTTTTAGGCTAACAAAATCTGTATAGTGAACCTCTGAGAAACTGCTATTTTCTTACACTGGGTCTCCAAATTAATAACAACTACACTTTTATATTAATACATTGCTAAAAAAAAGTAATTACCAATTTTGTAACTGCAAATACTGCCTTTTGATAGCTTTAAAATAATAATTTTAATCGACATTGCATTGGCTTAACAATTGATTTACAGGATGCAGATGTTACATCTAATGATCAAGGACCAATATTCAGGAAATGAAAACCAAATGAACAAGACCATTCATCACTGGAAGGTATGAGTGCCTACAGGCAGAACAGCATCTTAAATATTTCACCATTTCAAAAATACCATATTTTATGTTGCAGCATCAGAGTGAAATTGAAACTTGACATAGTTCTCCCTGAAATCTCTGAGACACTTCAGGACATTTGTATTTATCTTAGAGAAAACAAACCAAAGCAACCATATAAACAATACAGTAACTTGCCTCCTTGTATTCAATCTCTTTTTTATCGTTTAAATAATATCTTTCCTTTGAACTGGCTAGAACTGACAATTCTGCATCTGCCTTGTACCATCCTGGCTGTGGTTTGCCAAAGGAATTTTCTTGTGGCCTCATATTTGCCTCCTGGATAATATCAGTTTAAAAAAGGGTTTCATATTACTAACCCATCAGTCACTATGACCCTTATTAGCTTCAACAACCACACAATCCTGCTACATGGAAAGGTGACTTGCACATTTCTTTAGTTATTTGCAACATTCTCTCTTAAAAGCAATAAAAAAAAATGTTAGTGCTTGCAGAATTTATATTTCACAAGATTTTTTAAATTAATTTGAATATTAATATCCCCACTGATCAATATTTACCTCAGTCTTTAATGCATGCATCTTCAAAGTATAAACCTTTATTCTGTTCCGTTTTTCAGAATTTCAGTGTCAGTGAATGTCCGCCATGAATATTTAGGAGATACTATAACTCATTCCTTAGAAAGGTTAGCTAGTGAACACTACTTTTAACTACCTCCCTCTGTCAAAACTTTATGCATAATATGAAGCTAATTAATCTCTGGAATTCCTTGACCAAAAATTCTATGGACAAAAGATACTTACACACACTGAACTGACTGGACATGTTCTCAAAGAAAAAATACCTCTAAGGCCATTACAAACTACCTCTCAAGCCATTGAAGACAAATACTACTTCTGTCTCAAAACATTTCTGAGATGAAAATTTCTGGAGTCTGAGAAAACAACTTTGCATGACCATCCTGTTTTTGTGCTCAAGACTTCCCCCTTGTGACTAATGTAAGGGAGAAAGTTAGTAAGGTCAATCTTTGGTCTGACCTATGGCACTTAAACTATTTTTTCTCAGAGTCTGACATCTATACCAGAAAGTGAACACCTTAAAAGACAGCAACACTTAAAAGAGCTATTTGATTCCTACTCCAGAAATATCACACCATAAAATTTCTCATTCAACTCCACGAAACAATTTCAAGTGGATGAATGCAAGATCTGCAACAGAATACACTGGCAACTGTATTGAAAATGTATATATAGAGGCATATAAACAGACATACATTTATAAATACAAATATGCATGTCATCTAGTAGAAAAACAAAATTTTTTCTCTGTTATTTAGATATGCTGCTGTCTTATTTCTAAACAATGGGAAACAAAAGGCAAGCCAAACAAGAAGTCATTTCTCTTTTTGAGCTATGAAAGGCAGAATCTTTGAAAAGTTTTAGCATTTTATTGAGAAGGGGGATTCAGTAGATATATTTTTCCTGTTACTGTGCTGAAGTACATTGAGATGTACACTATTTACATAGCTTAAGCAGGAATAATCTCAATTTAGTAACGATGCAGAATATATTAAAAAGGGAAACATGTTCAAAGGGATGGGGGGTGTTTATTATCAAGGGATCCTTTTTAAGAAAGATGAAGTTGCTTTATGACTAAGCAGGTAGATACTTCCTATTCAAAAGTTATTTCAATACCTACCAAAGGAATAAATTTAGAAAAGTAATCAGATTACACAGAGGCAAAATGAGAGGATGATTAACAATCTTGAAAAGAAATTACTAAAATCTAGAGTTTGTGTCACATTGAGAAAACACAGCGATTAGAGTAATCTGCAGAAGACACTGCAACATGTTTACATTTTAAACACCTCAGTGCTATTAGGACTCACTTTGATTTTGATTTTCAGAGAAATCTGCAAGAAATAAGGATCACAGTTTGATTAAACAGATGAAATTTAAAAGAAAAACTTATAAAACCTCCACAACGTTATTGATGTCTTCTTTGCATCACTTATATTTTCTAAAGAGAAAAAAACCCTTCAAGTAAGTTGAACATGAACTAAAATACAGTAGAGGCAACAAAAATACCATCAACCAATGAAATTTTGAATTTTCCATTTTAAGTACATGATTAATAGTTGCAATCTGAAAAGTGACCACATAGAACCATTTTATGACAAAAGCTGAGGCTGATAATATAAAAACATAATAATCTCAGCAGGAGATTTGTTCCCCATAACAAATGATTAAGGTGAAGCTGCTAAAAGTAATGAAAATATTTAACTAGGCACTATATTAACAAAACACACAGAGAAGTAGTTAATCACACTGAATAGCTACAAGCTCTGTGAAATGCAATACAACAGCTACATCTGTGTCAGTAAGTAAATGTATTTTAAAGGTTATAATAATTAATATGAATCTCTTTTGGAAAACAAAAGCACACACAAAACAAGTGAAATACATATATTCATGAAAATTTTCTACATGGCATTTTAAATCACTGACTACATCACTCTACTCAGTGGTATTAAAAATGCTTGCAAGATTGGGGGAG